ATTATACGTTATGTAATCGTTATTACTTTAATTGAATTGCTATTAATTATCCGAACAGTCTTGTGGATTTCAAGTCAGGAAAAATGCTAAAAGTTTGCTGTATCACATATCAAAGCCAAGTCTGAATTCTTTTTCTTAAGCTTACTCAAGCCTTCAAAATCAGATTAGAAAGATTTTTGGATGGCATTATTTTCACTTAAAATGTAAGAAAAAATATGACCGAACGAAGGAGGTACCTTCCACCATGGGCTTACTTTCATAACCATGAAGCCCACATAGACTGAAAAAACTGCAGCTGCAGTTGCTAATGAATTCACTGCAAGGAAAAGCCCAACAGGAATACCAGCCAATGCTATAGAGCCCATCTGTAAATATGTCTCTACCATTAGAAGATCTTACAAACGTTTGTACCTGGGCATAATCGATGGAGATCATTTTGAAAATCGTTAGGATTGGGCAAACATAGACTCGGAAGGGTAGGCCTTCGACTGCCTCAAATCTTTTTTTTTGAAATATATTTAAATGAAGGAGCAAGGTTCCTGGTACTTGTACTATCTTTATTGTGAATTGCTCTTCTTACCCTTTACTTCTACTTATTGACGTATTATTGTTTTTTTTGAGATTACTCTTTCATATTCACTCGTTGCGCAGTTGATTAAATAAATAGTAAGAAAAAAGAAAATCACCTTGATTCCGTTTCCTACTTACCGCTATGTGGAAATTATACCACCTAATACGCAGTTGAATTAATGTTCCTGCGTACGACATTACAAAAAAAGCGCAGAACAATGCTAAGTAGAGGAGAAAAGGGTCCTTTTATTCTTCAAATTCAAGCCTCTACTCTTTATATTCATTTTAAGTTCTATACTTTGCTCTCTCTTCCAAAACTTCTTAGATTCCTGGAATTTCGAAAGTTCTAATAGAACTCTTTGGTCTCACAGAAAGCATAATGGTTGTTGATTACGTGTTGTTTTTCTCCAATATAGTACAAAGGGCGTCAAAAATAAGAGATTTTAGCTTTTATTCCGTTTC